CCAGTCCCTCATGCTGGTTTCGGATTGTTACCGAAACATGATCCAGAATCACCATATGTATCGATAATAGAACAACTTCTCTCACAGAAGCTTATCGAGAGTGATATCTTCTCGATCTACCTCAGGCATGATGGAACTAATAAAAGAGGGGAACTCCTTCTCGGTGGATCAGATCCTAGTATTTATAAAAGTCCGTTGGTCTATGTAGCTACCAAATCCATGCGTTTGCGAGTTACCGGCTTCTCCGTGGGAGGTAGCGAGTATCCTGTAATGGTCGTGAACGATCGTGGTATCCTTGATACTGGAGCAGAGTGCATATTCATACCTATTCGTAGGTATACTCTTCCTACCCTCATAAAAGATCTTGAGGCTCGATCAAGCGGTAAGGTGACGATTATCCAAAGGGGTCCCACGCTTCTCGTCAATTGTAATCAACGAAAACACTTTCCACCGATAGAATTTCTTCTAGAGGGTCTAGATGGTTCGGACGTCAAGGTGAAGATCCCCTCTGATGCATATGTGGATATTAGAACGGATGCTCAAGGGCAAGCTTATTGTCGCGTACTTCTTAATGTGACTGATTATGCTGTATGGGGTGTTGGACTCCCTAGCTTCATTGGACGTTATTTCTTGTATGACTGGAAGAATAATAAGATAGGTATTGGTGAACTCAAGTAGAAACACTCTTCGAGAGTGAAATAAAATAGACTATAGGGAAGCGTATCGGTCCATGCGCGAATAGCTTATTTCACATAGCAATCATTCATTAATCTCTTTTGTTTTTCAATCATTCTTCGACCCTCCCATCTGTCAGAGCACCCTCTGGATAGGCGCCTTTAGACAGCGTATGCGTGCAGAGGATGCTCGTCGCACGCGCGCACATGTTATTGATCATCGACGCCTGTAGTATTATCGATCTCGCTTTTGGCAGAACAGCCTAAATTTTACGACGAGTTTGGTTAAAGAGGTTTAACTTCATATAAGAGATCATAAGGCACTTAGATTTTCATTCTTCGAGACCTTAATGGCGCAGAGTTCAGTCCAGTCTGGCAGAACCCTAAGTTAGGGTCCCTAACACAATCTTTCATTGTTGTGTTGCACCAGTGCTTCCAAATATTATCGAATTATGTTCTTATGCGATAACGGATCGAGTATCCATAGCTTCTACACTTTTCCAGCACCTGTTTCAAGGAACGTAACTCCTATTTGGACGGGCCGGTGAAATGTTACTAGAAAGACTCTTTTAAGAACATCAATTTTGACAAGGAGCGATAATAAGAACTTCAATCTCAACACTGGTTGGCGGTATTGATGAAGGGTTCCTCGCTCCCCTTACCGGATGAGAGTCCTACTACATCTCTTATTGAACTGGCCGAGAGCTCCACCAAGCTGCAATCTTGATTTGCAAATCATCCCCCATCGTTTAATGCGTGTTAACACTCGCGCATAACTGTTACACACGTATTACTGGTGTAACTCGAGTGTACCTCAGCTGAAATATTCATGAGCCGATACCTAGTATTTAGAGGTGGGCACCCGGCGATTTTCTAGTCGCCCGGCCCGGCCCGGCCCGGCAGCCTTTGAACCCGCTTCCCCGGCCCGGCCCCGGTGACCCGGCAGTCTTTTTTTACCCGTGTTCCGGGTTTTGCGGGCCCGCCGGGTTAGCCGGGTTTTCCGGCCCGGATTGCCAGGCAGGAAGGCTTTCGGACATGATCGACTATAAGAGCTTTTTACTAAGAAGAACCAACATCTGTTCAACTTGTCGTGCTGGCCATTCGAAGCTGTATAAGACGCGACCTTCCCTGTGATGAGCTGCCCTTGCTCGAACTCGCTCAGATCACATAGTAAGGGTGCACCTGTCCCACGCCAGTGCTAGTAGATTCGGACTGAAGTGCCCTGCGGGCTTCTTCAACTTGTGCTGGCTATTCGAAGCTGTATAAGACGCGACCTTCCCTGTGACGAGCTCCCCTTGCTCGAACTCGCTCAGATCACAGAGTAAGGGTGCACCTGTCCCACGCCAGTGCTAGTAGATCCAGACTGGAGTGCCCTGTGGGCCTGTTCAACTTGTCGTGCTGGCTATTCGAAGCAGTATAAGACACGACCCTCCCTGTAATGAGGTCTCCTTGCTCGACAGTGCTATATAAGACGCGGCCTCTCCAAAAGTAGTGTATGAATTTGGGGGGTGTAGCGGTAATTTTGGGGTGAGCTCTAAAATTTAGGGGCCGATCTCTAAAAATGAGGGGGGGAACCCCTCTAAGGTGCGGGAATTTCGCGCTAGGTACAATTAATAGCACTATTAATAGCTTGAAATATCTGCGCTGCCGGGTTTCCGGGTGACCCGCAGACAGTTGCGGTCATTTTTCGCCCGCTCACCCGCATGAACCCGGCAACACCGGCGGGGGAGCCGGGTTTGTGACTCTGACCCGGCCCGGCCCGGCTCGCTCCGGGGCCGGGCCGGGGCGAACCGGGTCGCCGGGGCCGGGCAAGGGTGCCCATGTCTACTAGTATTATATTCAGCTATCGTATCGGCCATATGTTGTTCAGACTAAAACAGCTCAGCACAGTTAAAACGGTGCTAACGCTCGAGCCACTCGGTCTGACTGTCAGTCCAAAGGGTAAAACCACCAACAATCAAATCCGAGGTCCGGAAGATCTAAGCCGTAAACGATCCTGAAATATCTGACTTGTCGTGACGAAGCAACCCGAGGACGTGGCTGTCCGACGGGTGTCAGGTTGTCCACTTAGAACAGCTTGAACTCATGGATGAATCGTCCATCATGGTCTTGTCAGATATGTCCGGCTTCGGAGATCAGCGCAACACCCCATGAAACTGCACTGATCACCGTGATCGTCCGAATCGGGTTTCACTGTAGATGGCCATTCCCCCTTATGATTAACAACACTGCAAGCTCGATTTACTCGAGTCTTACATATTACGAAGAAACATACACATCATCATTGATATAACTTATTCTTCTTCTGACTCAGAGTCGCTCCCTTCGAACAGAGACAGCTATCTTCTGTACCTCTGTCAAATCAATGTCGACGCTGGCTGGAACTGTGCTCCTCCAAGACCCCAGAAGGCATATTTGTTGAAAAAACGAACCTCGGGTTCGTTTTTTCGAGATAAAATGGTGTTGAAAGATCGAGATTCTTTCGAGATGCATGTTGATTCGAGAGCAAGGTGTCCCGAGATCGATCATTGGTGCATTTTTCCACTACTCGAAGTTCCCTCGACTCCGTATGCTACTTTAAAAGTAGAAGATCTCGATAATAAGTAATGCCAGAAGTGGCACTTCTGGCATCGTTATGGTGCTAGAAATGACGTCAACATGCTCAGATTCATACAAGTTGTGATGATTGTTTCTACTGCTGATGTGTGAGGTTATTTTCACTAGTAGGGGAGGGGTCACATCTCAGTGGACTTCCGAAGTCGATCGAAATTGATCAATCGAATCGATTGATCATTAACGTTGTATGAACGAGACAGTACCAAATCGATGGGATCCTGAAAAACATCCACTCCAACCGGCGGGGTTCAATACTGGGGGTTTGCTGCGAAGATGGGAGAATATCAAACACCCCTCATCACGAAAGAAAATGGTAAGATGGTGTGTTTCATTTTCATAGTGGTTAGGTGGTGTAATGGTTGTCGGCTATGTTTGACATCATCCGGTATAGGGTTCGATTTCTGGGCCTTTCTTTTTCAAACTGTCAACCTTAAAACGTATGGTATTCAGCCTGAATAATTCAGGACCTGAATTTCAGGTAATCTCTGCTTCTTCAACTCCCGAATATAACCGTCATGACTACTTGAAAATCACCGATCAGTCTTCTGACGGGCCAACACTGAGCTATATGTATACCATCTGACAACGCTTCGAGAAGCAGACCGAATTCAGGCCTAGACCAGATCTACAGGAGACGCGTTTCCACCGAGGATTTCACCGTCGTCCCCAGAGAGATATAGGACAGGACATAGATAGATTGTAAAGGCTCGTGGGTTGATGGTTTTGTGAGTGTCTGTTAACATCCTCAGGAAGCTCGAGCATTCGAGGGACTGTAGGCGCCTAGCCCTGGCAAAGTGAGGAAGGTCTCTCTCTCGAGAGTTTCGGTCATCGAAACCATCCATGCACGTTCATAAATTTTTCATGTTTGCTGAAAATTTATTCACTTTTTCTGAAAAAAAATCTCAACTATGGTGGGAAGTTAATGGGAAATTCGGGGAAAATGCTGGAGTTTCACCCGTTTTACGTGAAGTGCCGTAAACCTCGGTGGAAAACGTGATTTTCGCGCTATGCAGTAGTTCTCGAAATGTGTTTTTCATATCACTAGGGTGGTGAAACTCCACTGAATTGAATTGCAATCAAGTATCATGAGTATCCTCAGAGCTTGCGTGGAGGCCACCAAACGCGAGTCCAAAGAGTGTACATTCAACATTCTAACCGGCGAAGGGGAAGGGCTACGCGACGTTGAGTTCCGAGATGAGTTGCTCCCTCTCACGTATCAGGCGGATACGCATGGCATGCGTCGCATGCACACATGGGTCTTCGAGTGTTAGGAAATTATCGTCAACACCTTGGAAAGAGTCTTCATTCAATCAACCTTCAGGGGCGGCGCCCCTGGGGCGCAATGTTATTCATATTTCCAATTTTCCACACATTTCTAATCTCACTTATCTCTTCCACGATCGTGACCGGGTCCCTCATCCGGGCTCAACTACTGAGTTTCTCGATACATCAGCCCGGGGTGTATGAGAATAGGTCCTCGTCAATATATAGAGCATCACGGGTGTTGCTAGGCGTAAGATCTTACGTCCTAGGCGTATGTATTGAAGGCTTTTAATAATCAAATCGCCTATAGTCTTACACTGTAATTGTACTTCTGCGGAAAATGGTTTCTCAGGGAAGAAGTTTACAGCTCCTAGTAACATTCCTGCTAGGTATGCATGGTTGTTATTTGTCAGGTCTTGGGAAGGCTGTACTCAATCCAACACACGCGATGTCAGCCACTTTCTTGGAGCATCGTCGCGATGAGATGAACAGAATGCGGGCCTCTAAGCACAGGTGCCTCGACTCTCCCGTCGGGTGGAGTTCTCCGCTCAGATTCTTCGAACCGCTCAAGACATCACCATCGTTCACTCGAGCGACTCAGCTCGGCAATGAACGACTCACAACCACTCATCGCGAGAGCATGGTCCTAGGTGAGCAGAGTTGAAAAA